GCAGGAATAAGGTGGCAGGACACTGCAAGGAAGTTACTTGTAGCAGCAGCATGACTTTGGACCACACTGAAATTAATTCATTACAGGAAGCTGAATAATCTGATAAGGTTACAGCTGCCAGCTATCTGTTCTCTGTGAGGACCTTAGATAAAGCAAATCTGAATTGCATAGCTTATGACTGCACCAAAATCTGGGCCACTGCAAGAGATGGGCCCAGCTGTTGCTGAAGTCAGCAAGTAATTAAATTCTTCTAGGTTACGAATGTGTATCAGTGGATGAAGAAAAATTCTGAGGATATGCAAGTAGCCATGAATGGTTTTGTTTGCAGGAAGTATGTGGGATTACTGTGCCAGCACAGAGACAGAAAGAATAGCCAGAAAGAATAAATCAAAGCAGGAAGGGTTTCAGGTTTGGGCGCAAAGTAGAAGAATTTTGCACTGCTCTTCCTTGAACTTGAAAAGTTCAGGGAAAACGCTTCTCTTTGGAGAGAGATGGCAAAGTGACTTTCATTTGGGAAGAAATTGGAGAAGATCCTGAGATCCCTTGGCAGAGGAGCGGCAGGGGGACAGGAAAAGAGGAACCTGTGTCCCTTTGGGTATCAGCAATTTCTGGTGGCTTCTGAGATGAGCCCTGTCCAAAGTGTGGCTGGGGAGGAGTGACACCTACATAGGCCCTGCCTAAGTAATCAAAGGCCCCATCAGGCTCATTGCTGAACACAAGGCCCTGGGGCAACCTACTGTTAAGCTGTGCCAATAGATAATACTGTGCAAGCATTTCTGTGTTGTTGTCGGTGATGTTTTGTGTATGAATGGTGAGAGATAAATTTAGAAATCAGCCCTGTTTTCCCACCTATATCTTATTGGGTGTTTTCCTCCCCAAATCCATTTTATAGCTGTAAAACAGCAAGCATAGTATGAAAAATGAATAAGCTAAACTAGGTCTGTGGGGAGGCTGCCTCTTTTATTAGACCAACTGATACAGCTGGAGCAGACAATCTTTCAGGCATGTGATCTATCTTTGGGTCTGATCTGCAGCCTGTTTTTTTTCTCCAGCTGTAGCTGGCAACATAATAAAAGATGTTTCTCCTCCTTAAAAGCCTTGCCTCACTTCTACTCCTATACTGCAGTGGCTATGGCCACCCAAATACCGCCACAAACAAATCAGTCAGAGTTTAGGACCCAGAGCCCTGTTTTAGGCTTACAGGATGTGACAGCTGACTGAAAATCAATGAAGTGTGATTTACGGATCGTCATAATGAGGCAAGATAAGGCTGGAAAGGTGCTGTCTTGCCTTGCGGGACTCAGTTGTCTGCCTTCATTTTTAACTAGACTGTTTTAGTCCCCGACTAGGATGAGACCGATTTGCTTATGAAAACAAAAGATCAGGTTTAAAGGAAAAGCCACGGTGGTGCCCATGCTTTGCCTAGTGCTCTTTGCGCTGTGTCTGAGCCGCTCAGGTAAGTGAGATTTCTTCTTCTTCCAAGCCCAGCTGCAGATGTTGAAGATTTTTTTTCTGGTGGCCCGTTCGCTGCTGCTTACTGGGACGAGATAGATGCCAGCTTCCCTTGGTCCTCTTCTTAAAACACTGTCTGTCTAGCAAAAGAGGGTTGCATCAGCCGCTGCCTTTGTATCGCAACCAGAGCCGGTTTGGCAACAAGGTTTTAATAACTGGGGTGGGAGAGTGGTCGCTGGGTAGAAGTTAACAAAAAAATCCTGAGCTTGACTCTCACTGCCAAAGGGAGTTACGGGAGAATCTCTGTCACCAGGAGGAAAACTGAAATAGAAACTCCGGCGAGCAGATGAGAAGCAACTGGGGGAGTGGGGGGATGGCAAACAGTGCTGGGTTACTTGTAGGCGCACTAACCTGCCAGGGAGCTCCCCCACCTTTTGCTTTTTCTGTGCTTCCGTATGGTAAATTCAGTGATGCGTCTGTCCTGCGGCTGCTTTTCTGTTTTTTCAAAGCCAGTGCTACCTTGTTCAGTGTTTTATCCGTGGCTTTATCTAACTTAATGATCAGATGGGGCTTGATCAAAGGAGCTGTTAGGCTATTTTTCCACTTGACATGTCTTCCTTCTCATTAAAAACTTCTGCTTTTAAACTGTACTCCTGCAACTACAGAGGCTGCCTTGTAATGGCACCAATCTTGTTCCTTCTGGCTTTCTTCTTTGTGAGACTTCGCAAGGCTTTTTCATTCTTTTCTGTGGCTTCCCCAGCAGCTGGGAATCAACAGATCCACCCCCAAAACCAGCTTTACCACTTCTCTGCTATACCCGCTTGGAGCATTAGGGCCCTTGGACTTCATGTGAGGCACAGGCTTGTGAAACGGCCCCATTTTCCCATGAGGGAGTTCATACGCAGCCGCGGACACCATGCCCACAGGGTGTGCGGTTGTTGCACATGTGGGTGCGGGGAATTACACTCAGATAAACCCAGAGCAAGGTATTCCAGCATTAAGACAAAGCTGGTTTTGATCGTGCATGTTTTGGGGTTGTGGATTTTTTCTATTCAATGGCTTTCCCATTTAAACTTCCTATGAACCGCCTAAAAGGAAAGCGAAAGGACTGGGAGCTGGGGTCTCTGCAGAGACTCTTAACGTGTCAGGGAATCGGACCACTGAGGTTGTGGGTACTGAGGGGAGAGGAATACATCCTCTCTCTTCCTTTGGTTGCGAGTGCAATGCCTGTCTGGCAACTTTGGGCAGGCAACTCAGTGTCCTAGGACAGACCCCAGACTTCGTCCCCCATTTGCTGTAGTGGAGCTAGGGTTAGCCCTGGCGTGAGAATAAGCCCTGGAGCAAGCAGAAGGGATACTTGTGGTTTCCCAGCTGGTAACAGCAGACCCCAAAGGCTTGTGACAAAGCAGCAAGGTGCAGGGGGTGGCCGCAGAGGCTGCTGTAACCTG